ACGGGGGGGGGGGGGGGGGCTGGCCCCCTCCCCCAGCAGGTTTCTGGCCTTCAGGAGCTGCTAGTGGCCATGGGACTCTAGGTCCTGTGCCTAGCATGTGTGGGCTCTCAGCTCTCCCGTGAAATGCTGAAGCTGCAGGAATGTTAAAGTTCAGTGTAGATTTGTAGAAGGCACTTACAGCCAGCATAGAAAGGGCATTTTCTTTTTTTAATTCAAGTCCAATGCCAGATGCTTCCCACACGCACAAGGAGGCGGGATTAGAACTAGTCTTTCTAAATCCAGTCTGGTAGGAAAAGACAAAAGACCCCTTTCTAGGAAGGGTGGATTAGAACAAAACTACTCCTATTTTACACTTTGAGAAACTCTTCTTGGTCCTGTCAGAGCAAAGGACAGCATGTTCACACAATGTTAAAAATCACAGGCTCTTTATAGATACTATATTGAAATACTCTATACCTATTTGTAAAATTATTAATCTTAATTTTCATTAAACTTGCATATTAGCATATGCCTGTAACGAGTAGCAAAACTTAAAATGCAGTTGATGCTCTTTAAACCAAGTTAATTTTTTATAAATGTGTCACAGAAGGCATCATCAGATCCTGATTTTAGTGATCATTTTGAAAATAGCTGCAGGCTTGACATATGTTTCATTCAAAAGGTCCAAGAAGAATCAGTATTTTTCCACGTTTAAGGCAGTGTTGCTCTGTAGCAAGTTTCAGTTTCTCTGTAGTAAGTTACACACAATTGTTACTTCTGTGTTCTCCCAGCTTTAAACACCCTTTCAAAGTCAACCTGTTAAAAGTGGCTCTTCTCTCCTGAAAATTACAACCAGAGCTCATTGTCCCATCTGATCCTCCTCTGTTGGAGTCAACATCAAGAACTTGTACTGACAGCGAAGGAAGTTCACGCAGGCTCAAAAGACAGGTTTCATTAGAAATTTATTTCTTTAAACATGGCCACTTTGAGATTAATGATACTACTTCAGGGAACATGAAAGAATAATAAACAGTTTTAGAAGGGAAACAATCAGGTAAGTCAGGATTTGCTTTTCAAACAGTAAAAGGCCAAGCTCCAAGAGGCAATAAATTTTGGCATACGAGGACTAGTATTTTCAAATCCAAAAGTTGGCTTAGTCTTACAGTGGAAGCTGACTGCAACCTTAGCTACCTTTCCACAACGCTGGACTCAATCATAACTTAAATGTACAGGAGCATAATGTGAAAAGATTTTGTTTTATTAATTAAAAGTTAACAGCAACAGGCACATATTAAAATGAATATGGCAAAGCCTTTACAAATGGCTTTACGCTGAAGCTCTTCCAAAAATGGCTGTTGCAACAAACTGTAAACAGAATTAATAAACAGTCTTTTACAATAATAACAGGGAAATACAAATGAACTAAAAGAAAGCACCAGTTTCTGAAACTAGATTACAGTTGTGCTTACTGTACTTAAAACGATGTAAAACAAATTACAAAAATGGAATGTTTTAAGTTTAAAATTAGTCCTTTAATTTTGCCCTAAAAAACATTTTCTCCTTTTCCCATCAAAAACCCATCAGTGGGTAATGTTTTAGTAGAGGGAGGAATACGTAAACAATGCACTTTTTTTATTATTTTTTTTTCAAATCAAAAACAAATTTGGTCACTTAGCTTTGTGCATAGTTTAAGGCATCTGTAGCAATTTGTTACAGTTTCCTCCCCAGTGTGGCTGTTCATGAAATTGTCACATTCTAAAAGAATAAATTAAAAAAAAAACCAAAAAACAAAAAGAAAAAATGTTGCCGTTCAAACCCTTCCCCGAGCCCTCCCGCCCTCCCCCGTCCCAAACGTACTCACACACCCACACATACACACACGCTGCAGCGAAAGGGGCATTTGTACCCTTGTTCTGAAGGACACGCTTCCCATCCCACTTTATTTCAGATTGGCAAATACCCTGAGCTGATTATGGTGTTTAGACATTCCACCTTTTTCTTGCATGTGCAGTTCAAGTGTACAATAGTGAGAACAACATGCGATGTTCCCACTGCAGAAT